GGAGAGGGGAGGACAGACAGGAGACTCTTAAGCAGTCTGTAGAGAGTTAGTGAAGGCCTAAAGTAGGCTTAGAGCTGAGGAAATCAGATGAGTCTGGTTTGGGGAATTTTTTTCTGAGAAAGAGAACACAGGGGTTGTACTGATCACATGTGGTGGCACATTATTTGGGGTCATTTGCACAGGTGAAATATTCTAGGGTTTAAACGACAAGAGCAACAAGCGAGAAGGAGTCTGGGTTCCTGGATGGCCTCTTGGAGCACAGTTCCCATCTTTATAAAGCCTGGACCACCTCTAGACCTAGTGGCTCTGAAAATTTAGCGTCAGAATGACCTGGAGTCGGGTGGGGCCTTGGTGAGCCTCTGCTTCAGTAGGTGTAGGGAAGTTCTGCACTTTTAATAAGTTCCCAGATGATGCTGATGCTGATCACATTTTAAGAACCACTGCTTGGGGTCTTTGTACGTAACTATGTATCTCATAGAGATGCAGACATTATCTTATTTAAACTACTATTATTTAGACCTCCTTATATGCCCCTGAACCTACCAAAATAATCAAGAAGAGAGAAAACCTAGAAGACGTGGTTTGCTCTCTCTGATGGGATGGGTGGACAAGACCTCCCTGTTAAAGCCCTTTCCTCTCATGGCTTTATTCTGGACTGGCCTTTTAGCCCATGGTCTGCAATGTTAGCTTCACTTCATATCCACATTAGTAATATTTCCTGAGAGTTGGTCAAAAATTCCTACAAGGTTACTATGGGGAAGTGGGAGAATGGTAGACTAATTAACTAACCGGCAGCTCAGGAAATGGAGATAACTTAGGAAAAGCCATAGAATACTTTATACAGAACATGAGGTATGCAGAATGTTAACAGGTACTATGTGCAAAAACATTTTTCCTGGTATAAATAACTCTTGTAAATGATAGATGAAATAAAGGTAATATTTTTATTTATTTCTGTTTTATTTGTTCTTTTTAGATATACAGGATAATAGAATATATTTTGACCTATTATACATACATGGAATATAACTTATTCTAATTAGATCCCACTCTTATCATTGAACATGACCTGGAGTTACACTGGTTGTGTATGCATATATGAATATAAGAAAATTATGTCTAATTCATTCTACTCTCTTTCCTATTCCTATTCCCCCTCCCTTCCCTTCATTCCCCTTTGTCTAATCCAATGAACTTCTATTCTTCCCTCCCCTGCTTACTTTGTGCTAGCATCTGCATATCAAGGAGAACATTTGGCCTGTGGATTTGGGGGATTGGTTTATTTCACTTAGCATGAGAGTTTCAAGTTCCATCCATTTACTAGCAAATGCCATAATTTCATTTTTCTTTATGGCTGAATAATATTCCAGTGTGTACATATACCACATTTTCTTTATCCATTCATCTGTTGAAGGGCACCTAGGTTGGTTCCATAGTTTAGCTTTTGTGAACTGAGCTGCTCTAAACATTGATGTGGCTGTGCAATGCCAATTTCATGTCCTTTGGGTGTATGTGGAGGAGTGGGATACCTGGGTCAAAGGTGGTTCCATTCCAAGTTTTCTGCGGGAATCTCTATACTGCTTTTCAGAGTAGTTGCATCAGTTTGCAGTCCTACCAGCAACATATGAGTGTACTTTTTTCCCCTGCATCCTCACCAACATTTATTGTTACTTGTATTCTTGATAATTGCCATTCTATAAATATAAATCTCTGAAGGGTGATTATACTCTGAATTTCCCACCACTCACCCTCTGTCTTAGAACCAGGAAATCTCAAGGGGTAAGGGTCATATGAAATCCTCCCAGGAAAATGCTGCCCAGGAAATAAGCTTGGAAGAACTTCAGAGCAGAGATTTCCAAAGGCCACTCTGTGCAGACTGGTGCCTGTCCATTACCAAGTAATTACGAATCTATAACAATATGGAGAACAATGTGGCATTTTACTAAGCTGACTTTTTTTTAAATTTAAGAGTTATATTTATTTTGAAATTATATGTTTTCTATGCTTTAGTGTTAAATTTTTTTCTTTGCAGTAAATAATGATAAAGAGATGATTATTTTTAAAATATTCTTATACATGTTTTAAATTGGAAGTCAGCATCTTTAAACCAGTCCCCTCATTTTAGCTTAATGGTGTTGTTCTGTTAAATAGGGATTCCAAGCCCAGCATTTATAGATGAGGGAGATCCTGAGGCTGTTACAAAGAAAACGATAATACATTCATTATCATTTGTTCAAACTCTGTGTGAACTGGAAAAGGCTACTCCATCCTCAAGGACTTCATGGCACATGTTTGGACACTTTGATGCCTTTTATAACAGTAATCATAAGTGGAGGTTGAAAGGTTTTTCTGTCCCTAGCAAAGTTGAACTGTTTCATGAATTGGTAGAAAATTAGAACCAGCAGGATTCCATGTGTCCATTTCAATATTTTGGTTCTAGGCAAATTCAAGACAGTACATGATTGATTATGATTAATTGTATTTACTTACATAGTTCTCTTTGTGGATATTTCCATCTGAGCTAGAAAGAGAGAAATATTAAGCAGGCACCTGGGAATTATTCAAGCTCATGGCTAAAACTTTCCATTAATCTTTTAGATCATCCCCATTTATAAAATAATCCTAAAGTTAGTTCATCTCTCTGGACGAAAGCTTCTTCACTTGAAAAAAATGAAAAGATGGGACTGAATTTTTTCTGAAGTTCTTCCAGCTATAAATTTTAAGGATTCTACAACTCACCTAGAATTAAATAGTAAATGAGGGCCACATTAATTAGTCTGTATCACCTAAATTTTCTCTCTTTTTCAGTGATTTCTAGATTACCAAGGCAAAATAGTGCTCACAGCAGGTCAGCTATCTGTATGAAAATCATAAAGGAAAAAATCTACAAATAATAAAGAGATTGTACTTACATATTAAGCACTATTCTCTTCATATTTAACTACTGAGTACTATATTCTGAGATGGGATATCAACTTAAAATATCTTTTCTTTTTTTAAATTTATTTAGACAGGTTCTCACTATATTGCCAGGCTGACCTCAAACTCAAGATCCCCCTGCCTCAGCCTCCAGAGCAGCTGAGATTACAGGCATGTGCCCCTGCACCCTTTTATATACCTTTTCACTCCTTTCTTGACTTTTGCATAGCCTGATATAACTTATATCTTGTGAAGTCTGTGTCTCTCCGAATGTGGTCTTGGAACCACACAACCATGTGGGGAACACTGAAAATGAGCATACCAGGGCACTAACTTGCTGGAGACTCAGATTTCCTAGAGCTGGTCTAGAGTCCAGGAATCTGCATTTTAAATAAGCTCTCAATTGGATTCTCTGGTATACTGAAATTTAAATACCACTTCCCCTAAGATCATGGTGCTGGGGACCCATTACTTTCAGTTGACAAACAATGAATAGCAGAGAAGGGTCAGAGAAAAGATGAAAGTAAAAGCGGATTGATATCATGGGCGGTTAAATAGTTCCTTTCACTTTATTCTAGCTAGAGGCAAGGAATTAACTGCTTCTCTTTTACCTCTTGTCCTGCTTGAAAGGTAAACAAAATTTCTACTTAAAAAAGTTGGGTCCCCCCCCCCCAATGAAGTTACAAAATCAATGGGGCGGGAAGGAAATGGGTGGGGCAGCGGCACACAGAGATTAGGGATTTATTAGGGGAAGGATTTGCCTTAATTTTTTTTTTTGGTCAAATAATATATGGAGACTTGGAGAAATATAGATGATGCCTGTGTTCCCTGTATAAATTGAATTTAGAGATCATAGAATGTGTACATTTCCAACCAAGATAAAGAACCAGTACACACAATAACTCAATACAATTTATAACATGGCCATTTGGTTTAAAATAAATAAAAGAATTTTAATATACTTTCAGATCTTGCTTTTCGTATTTTCTTCCACTTTTGAAGTCTGCTGTATTCTTAATTGTTGATTTTCTTTTACTTTAAATCCAGTCCACTGATGTGTACAAAGTTCTGTTTCTGCCCAAGGCTAAGAATGTTCTAGGTGAACCAATCAATCAATCTTTGCCCATTAAGAAAGAGCACTAAAATAAAAAGAATCCTAACCTTTTGATGGATTTGGTAGCTGTTGCTAAATACTTGTTTTTTAATTGGCAAAACACCAAAAAGAGAAGCAGCCTTTCACCTTGCAGAGGGAAAGCTTTCAGGTCCCTGGATATTGTGTAGCCTTTGGGGAAATTCTTTACAAATCCTGGAGTATTGATCAACCATAGCATCACTTGGGGGTAGTGATGTTATTTTTAATTAAATCTTTGTAGTCTAAATTGGAGCATACACATATAAATGCTTCTGCAAAACAAACCAGGAGCAAGGCATAGCATTTGGCTTAACTGAATACCTAACCGGCAACAGCTTAAAGTCTCTTCTTTCAGATTTGGGCCTACAGGATCCATGGAATAATGGATTCATTTTGTAGGACTGAGGCTTCCAACTTGCTATTGCTAAGTCCTGTGTGTTATATGGCCTGAGCCTGGGGGTTACTTTTCCAGACTGTTAAATTAGAGAAGTTCATGGAGAAAATGAGACAAGATGCTGCAGTTCATGAAACCGGGTGTGTCTGTACAAATGTTTCTCTCATCTACAAAAGGAGGTAAATAAGACATAGCTAACCAGAGATCCTCAAGTTGTCAGAAGGCTTTTGCTTTGTTTTGTCTCAAAAAAGTGTTCCATTTCCATAGTGTCTGGGCTAAAACCGTTTTTAACTCAGGGCTAGCGGTAGCTGCTTTTCCTCCACTGGACACATTTGTAACACAATGGAATTAAGTATAGAAGTTCTATTCAGGTTAAACTCCAACATGACTTAAACTATTCTATTACTTTAAGCAAGAAATACTAGACTTAAAGAATGACAAGCTGATTTACTAAATTATTAGGCACGCCACAGCTATGTTTAATACTGTATTATGATTTCAAAGGTCAGAAGTCATAGAAAATTAACACATTTTTCTTCTCTCTTCTCTTTTTAGGTTTTTGACAAGACAAACCCATCTTCTCCAAGGTAAGCAACATTATACTATCGACCAATTTGTTGGCAAAATCCAGAATAATTCATTGACTTTAGATATGCTTTTACTATATATGAGTGAGTTGTTCAAATGGTGTCTTGTGTTGGTTGGTGTTGGTTATGACAGCATTCTATAAATATGGCTCGATTAAATACTAAACTAGATGGCAGAGGAGTTGGGGAATGGAAGAGAAAGAGACACACAGAAAGAGGGAGACAGAGGGAGAGAAGAGAGAGTGAGTCTCTCATTTTCTTGCTTGATTAGCCCTTTTATGAGACAGCAGACTCTTTGTCTCTGATATTCAAAGACAGAAGACAGTTTCTTTGTGAGCAGCTGTGGCAGGGCCTCGCACCTCTACTAAAGCCTATTTTGGAAGAACTAAAAAGCAGAGTGCCCCTCAGCATAGCCCTGATTCTTCAGCCTTGGTGAGGCTTCCCGCCCAACTCAGCAGGACAGCATTAGTCCAGTTGTTTAATTTCCAGGAGTATCTGTAGAAACCAGCAATTGAAGATGTGTTAATCATATTAAAGAACACAATAGGAATCCTTTTTTATTTCATTAGAAAATCAGGATGCATTTGATGTGCACCATCTGGTTTGTGAATGCAGGAGCAAGTTTTTCAAAAGGGCACATTTCCAAGTTCTATGTTTCATGTGCTTCAGAAGGAAAAACCCATAAGCAGCCTATTTTTAATGAGAGCAATGCCAAAGCTAATAAGATTGGGGTGCATTTTCAGTATGTGCCATTTCCCTAAACTATATGTGTTTGCAGTGCGTTTAGCAGACTTGTCCTGTTTAGAGGTTGGGCTTCCAATTGAAAATTTTAAAGTTTCTTATGTGTTAATTGGAAAATAGAGAGAGACATCATTGTTGTAGAGCATCTGGCTTCTTAGGTATTAATTATGACTCTGTCTACAATTGAAGACTAGTATTTTTACATTACCTTCTTATACTCACTCTGTTACTTTTAGAAACTAAGTTTGATTTAAATTTTACTGTGTATTGTATATGTTTGTTAAAATGTCTTCTTTAAAACAAAAAGCAGTAACAAAGCAAGGAGAAAATACCAGATTTATTATTGCTACTCTTTGTTGAGTCCTTCAAATGTATTTTTCATTTAACTAAAAATACAATTCTACAGTGTAGCATCTCACTCTATGGTCTAGTTCTAAACAGGAATGTCTTTGAATCAGAAGCCCTGTTCAGAGAAATAATTTCTTCTGCTGCCTACATAGTTTAAAAATTCTATACAGTAACAAACATAATTTGTGAGGTGATATGATGCTCTTCTTAACCCTCAGTAATTGGAGACTGCTTCTGTATGTATTCCACAAGTCCAGCTTATGTTGATGAAGGAAGCATAATTACATTACAGGCAATCTCATGTAAGGTAATTATAGTTGTCGCCATCAATCCAATTAAACGGGATAACCAACTCTACTGAGTCAGAAACACCACAAAGCTGTCTGGCTAAATCCAGGATTTGGGATAAGGTTTGTGATTGTGGATTTTAAGAAATACAGTTACTTATAAAAATACATAGTTTTGGTGGGGGAGGGTGGGAAGAGATTGAATAATGGCCAACTTTTATTCTGCACTTATTAGTCACTTTCTTATTTCTAAATGCAGAAATCAATGTAGATTCTCAACACCAAAGTTTAGGTTATTATGAAACCTCCTCTCCTCTGATAATTTTCTTTTCTTGCAGTTTAAATGATATTCCTCAAAATGCCCGATTTTCATTTCCTGGTTTATTGTTTCTGTGCTTCCTGTTTTGTGCAAAGTATATAGCACCATGTTGTTTACTTTTATTTTTGTGGTGCCAGGGATTGAACCCAGGGCCTTCTGCATGCTAGACAAGTGCTCTACCACTGAGCTACATCCCCAGCCTTAGTTTTCCTAATGTTTAATTTGTGCCTTGAGTAGTTTTATTATCCCTTTAGTTTTTCTCCCATCTTTGCAATCATATGGGCCAACTTGGTCTTGAAAAAATTCATGCTGAAGCATCAGAGAGTGAGTATAAAAAGATACAGGGTAGAAACAGAAGGTAAAAGGCCTTCCTGATTCTTTCGGCAATGACCAAGACTGTGACCAGGAGGAACACTTCTTGCACATCCAAATTTGTAGTCTAAGGTTTTAACAAACAATAAGTTCAACATGGAGTTGTTATTACAGGATGTATAAAAAGATTCTAGAAACTGTGTGGTCAGATAACCTTAAAAAAAATAGAGCCTAAGACATCTTTGGAGTAGATGTGAATACCTATTCCTCTGTTTATTTAAAGATTGGACAGGGGGTATGCTAATATGTTCAGTGAAAACAATGAAAGAAAATAATGAAGGATGGATAGTGATATTTGAAAATTGTTGAGATTGAAGTAAATTGTGAATATTCAGAATTCCACTAATATACAACACATATTATTCTCACAATGTGTGTTTTGTTTTGTTTAAGATTCAGAGGGCATTTTTTAGGTTCGTTCTTTTCTCCTCCCTGACAGTTTGGGTGGGACTGAAAGTTCCAAACATCTAACCAAGGTTTGCTTTTTGGATGACTGGTTCCCATTCTGAAGCTAAGGAGGGGGTGCACTATGAGTTGCCCAATGGGTAAAATGATGGTTCTATTACTTCACTACCTTTTTTTTTAATGCAGGGGGAAATTTAATTTATACAGTAGCCACTCAGGGGCCAGAGTTGCAGAAGTTGGGGGAATCTATGATACCCCAGACCCCATCCTCCCAGGAGAGTTGTCCTCACAAAATACTAGCAATTCAAATATGACAAAAAGAAACTGAAAAAAAATGCTTCCTTTAAGCAAAGAGGTGAAAGTTCTCAATAAAGAAAGAAAATTATGTGCCTACATTGCTAAAATCTACAGTTATTGTACTTAATATTTCACTGTGCCTAATATATAAATTAAGCCTTACCATAGGTTTGTACGTATAAGAGAAAAACTGTATTTTTTTAAGAAAATGTCCTACAATGTGCATTTTATTTCATATCATTATACAATGTTTACATATAGTTATAACTCTCAAGAAAATGTATTTTCTTTACCAATTGTATGTAGTGCCTAAACCTTTCACTTTAACATGGACAATGGGAAAGAGTGGAAATCTACATTAAATGCTATTCTACAGAAGTTGTAATGGGCTGCAAATGTGCCAATCAGAAAGGAATGGAAGCCTTAGAAGAGAAGTGTAGCTTTCAAATCCTTGGTGATGGGAATGGAGGGGAGGGGAGGGGGGATAGGAAAGGCTGCAGAATACAACAGACACTAGTATGGCTATATGTATAAACATGGCTGTATAACCAATGTGATTCTGCAATCTGTACATGTGGAAAAATAAGAATTCATACTCCATTTGAATCAAATGTACGATATGTCAAGATCATTGTAATGTTTTGAGCAACTAATAAAAAATTTTTTTAAAAAAAGAGAAAAACTGTATATAAACTGTTTGCTACTACCTATGGTGCCAGTCATCCTCTGGCATCTTGAAATGTATCCCCTAAAGATAAGTGGGTATTAGTCTACATTAAAATCATGTGTGACTCCCCCAATCAGTTGCCACATTCTGATTGGCCCTCAAAAGGGTATCTGTTGCATACCATTTTAGAATTGACTGTTATAGGTAGATAACAGATCATCCAACTGTCGAGTAACCTTAGAAATTTCCTATTCTCTGCTGGGTATGGTGGTGCACACCTGTAATCTCATGACTCAGGAGATCGAAGCAAGAGGATCACAAGTTCAAAGCCAGCCTCAGCAATTTAGTGAGGCTCTGAGCAACTTTTCAAGACCCTGTCTGAAAATAAAACATAAAAAAGGTCTGGGGATGTGGCTCAGTGGGTAAGCGCCCCTGGGTTCAATCTCTGATACCAAAGAAAAGAAAGAAATTTCCTACTCTCTCAATTTATAGATAGAGAAACTGAGGCTCATAAAGGTGAAGTGATTACCCCAGGGTTACAAAGCAAACTAGTTGTAGCAGTACCTTATAATCTAGCACACCTGAACCCTTGCCCTTTTCTACCTGTCTCCTATACTACGTGTTTGACGTGTTTTTCCTCTATTGCTGTAAGTAAGTATCTGCTTATCTTTTCTTTAAAACAAATAAATACACAGTTCAAGAAGAGCTTTATTGGTTTAGAGGGAAAATTGCCAGAGTTTAAGAAGATACTTTCATCAAACAGGATATGCTTAATTAAGATGTAGTCCTCTATTGGGTAGATCTTAGAAATGAGTAATTGTGTCCCTACAAGAAGCTGCTTTGCAAAACCATGAAATAATGGACCTGTGGCCCACGCGCATTTTACTCTTTGACCTGCTGGCCACTGATGAAGCACTGGAAGGGGTTCACTGGCATTTCTTTGAGGAGAGAGAAGCTGGTGGTAGATAAATGATAATTCTGCAGACAGGCAAAGTCTCAGGCAGGAGATGCCAGGAATATGCTGGGCTTCTGCCAAATGTTTCTCTGGCTGCTCTGTTTTCCTGTCTCTTCTATTTTTCCCATTTTATCTACTTTCAGGACTCTTTGCACTGTCTGTAACTACGATTATAATTTGGCCTCAGAGAGTGTACTATATTCACTACCCTTGAGATTATTTAAAAGTTGTCCAGTTTACATGTAAACAAAGACTGTTCTTTTGCAGTCAAGATAATGTTATTATGGAATGGCTCATTTGTGTGCCAAATGGGAGTAGATTTGGATTCACTGCCATTTTCTTAAAGGGACATCACAGTAATTTACTTGCTTAAATGACTTAAGTAAAGTCTTTAATTCACAGATTATTGATTCATAAAATTCTCTTCCTCCTACTTTATCACTGGCAATTATCTTCCCTAGATTAACCTAAATGACCTTTTAATGACCAAGAACTGGATTGATTTACATATGCTGGGAGTCATTCACCTTGTAGAGGAATATTCATCTGGAGATTTCAAAAACAAAATGAGCTTCCTGCTTACCTCCTTTGATAAAGAGAAAGCAGCTC